TAAAACCACACTAGATCGATTGGGAATTTGAGATGTCATAAGTATTTTAGGCTATGCAATCAAATAGTCTCCCAGGATTTTACACACTGCTAGTTAAGAAAACAAATTTTCATCTTACATTTTGCAAGCTGTCACCTTATATACAGTATATCGGAAAACTTGCCATGACTGGTTTTACTGCCAGACCTCTTAAGAGCTAATTGGTTAAGCACCTGGGCAGGAAGCTTTTTGGCAGAAATGCTATTTTCTGCAAGGACTAGCTATAAAGTTCTGGATGGCAAATTGTAATCATTAAGGCTCCCTCTTCTACAACAGAACACATAAAACGTAAATACATTGCTTGGAGAGATTACAATGCATAAAAGGACGGGCTGTGTTTTAAGTTTATCCAATGCTTATGGCTCAAATTTGAACATGGAAAGGATCTTATACTTTTTTCAGGGTAAAGCTTTCAGCAGACTTCTCTAATTGCACCCAGAAAAATGAGAATCACATCTGTTTGCATCCATCAAAACTGTTATTTGCATGTACAAATGCTAACTTGTGTATACAAGGAGATGCTGCAAATACAATGACTCACACTGATGTTTCAAACACAGGGAGTTTGTACATGAAAAGCAGTTTACAGAGGGGTTTTGTTTTCAGTTGTAGATTAGAAGTTCTGCTGAAAATTTGTCCCCAGGAAATTGTAGGGTTTTTTGGTATTGTGTAAAAAATCATAGCATATTCTGCTGCCTGGAATGAGTTGAATGCAGTGGTTTGTGAATATGTGTTTGAATTCCAAACAATGTTTTGGGCTGATTGTGTTGGTGGAAATTTTTATTGCTTGTTATTCATGAGCATTGTCATGAATGCAATTAGTTTTTCATTTGTGTTGATATTTGATATGTTCGGTTCTTTTTGGACAGAATATCCAGAAGAGGCAGATGCCAATTTTTTTAAAAATTCACTGAGAGGAGAGGAGGTTTCTAATTTGCTGCAAAATACTGGTGTATTTTTTTACCATAAATTTACTCCTTTATAAATATTAGCTCTCTGCAAATATCACTTTTCCTAGGCAGACAGGAATATGCAATAGTCTTTATGGTCCTAGACAGAAATACTGTGAAGGAATGGCAGTTTGTTTTCAGGGTACTTCATTTTACTTGTGACTGCTAGTTGTTGCTTATCTGTTTCCATAATTTAGATTTAAATTTGCACTCATTTTAGATGCAAATGCTAATTTTTGTGCTTTAATTTTATACACCCTAGTTGTCTTGTTGAGCTCAGTGAAACTATCCAAATCCTTAAAGTTAAAGCAGATGCACACATTTGCAAGATCTGCAGAGCTGAAAGGAGATTATGTGATTTAAAGATGGATCACACACTACTAGTAATAAATAGCAAATAGTTGGCATTGTGCAGAATAGAGAGAACATCTATCTATGCATTTTGAAATATCCTTGGCATAATTTGTAATACAAATATCAAATAGCCATGCTGTTGTAATTAAGCTCCAGTAACGTCAGGATCTCAACAAGATGAATAAAAAGTGGGAAATTTCCCCCTTGCACTCAGTTAACAGTTTTTATGCTTCTTCCTCAGTTTCAACTCTCTGTGTCCGGGTGGTCAAAGAAGTGCATTACAGCCTGCCAAAGAGGTGGTTGAATTTGGCCTCTTTTAGACCAAGGCAGAGAATCCTCCCCCCCACATAATGCCCTGCCAGCTGCCTCCTCAGAGAGCCGTGCCAGCACAGTATGGGCTAGGTTCCAGGGGAGCTGGGGCTGCTCTTGGCTCTGCCTCTGCCCAGAAACGTCATGCCACCCGTGTGGGGCTCCACCCTGGGATCCAAGAGATGCATTCTTTTCTTTTCCCTATATACTTTGCGTATGCTTTGGGCTAAGTTTTTCCATTGTGCAAGTATGTGCATAAAGTAGCTTTAGCTGAAGAACAGGCCAGAGCATACTGGAAAAATAAGAGCATTGATTGAATAAGAATGCCCAACTTGATTTCTTAGCCAGCCTTCCTCTCTCTTTCCTGTTTTTGTGTAAATCCCAGCCTGGCTGGGCAATATGAGTATTACTGAACATTGGAGAAACTGGCACAAAGTGGTAACAGGGATAGTTATGATTTCATAGAGCTCCTGGGGAGGAGCAATCACACAGGTTAATTGTGCAAAAGGCTTGAATAAGAAACAGTCAAGGGAGGATCTTTCATAGCTACAAATAGTTCCAGACCCTAACTACCAGCGAGAGAGAAATAGTAAGTTTGTGATAGAGAAGAATGTAAAAGGGGCTAGAGGGATGAAAATAAGAAGCAAATGATGTAAAGTGATTTATGGGGAAAGACCAGTGAGTTTACAAACACTCTTTGGCAACAGAATGATCTTTAAATTGTACTTGTAGCAGGTTTCATGTTTATGAGTTTAAAAGTAGCATTTACAAACCTTGTTCTGACAAATAAGAGGAAACCGACAAACTTTTAATGACTTGGAAAGATGGTATGATTTGGTCTGTTCTAAATTCCTAATTTCTATGTCTTAGTAACAGATATTGGAAATATTTGTGGTAGAATCCACTCTGCCAAAATTTGGCATCCAGCTTGTGCCTGTATTTCAACTTCTCAGTGAAGATGTTCCCCTAAAAGTGTGTAATTTCTCAGCAAAGTCATCAAAGGGAGATTCTTTCTGCAAATTTAAGAACTCCCCACATTGAAAATGTGAAGATTTGCAGATCAGCATTGTTTTGTGGTGCAGAAAAAAGAACTACACACCTGGGAGCTATGTGGAAAGGGACATAGGGAAGGTGTAGAAATGGGGAGTTGTGTTATGACACAATTGAACAGAACCCAGAGTGCATACTCAGTTCACATGTTAGACATGTCCCTGAGAGGTTTAGTTCAGCAAGGGGAAGTGCAAGGTCCTGCTTCTGGGAAAGAACAATTCCAGGCACCAGTATATGCTGGGGCCACCCAGCTGGAAAGCAGCTTGGAGGTCCTGGTGAACATCAAGTTGACCATGAGCATCAACAGAGAAGGTTGACAGTATCCTGGGCTGCATCAGGAGTGCTGCCAGCAGGTTGAGGAAGGTGATGCTGCCTTTCTGTTCAGCACTGGTGAGGCCACACCAGGAGTACTGTCTCCTAGGTCTGGGCTCCTCAGTGCAATAAAGATGTGGAGAGTCCAGTGAAGGGCCACAGAGATGATTAAGAGACTGGAGCATCTTTTCTGTGAGAAAAGGCTGAGAGAGCTGGGCCTGGAGAAGAGAAGGCTCAGAGGTATTTCATCAATATATACCAATATCTGAACAGAGGGTGCAAAGAGGATGGAGTCAGATTCTTTTCAGTGGTACCCAGTGACAGGACCAGAGGAAATGGGTACAAACTGCAACACAAGAGGTTCCCTCTGAACATCAGGAAACATTTGCTCATTGTGAGGGTGACCAAGTTCTGTCCAAGGTTGTCCAGGGACACTGTAGAGTGTCCATCCTTGGAGATATTCAGAAATTATCTGGACATAGTCTTGGGCAACCATCTCTAGGTGGTCCTGGTTGAGCAGGGAGGTTGAATCAGATGGCCTCCAGAGATCCCTGGTAGCTGGCCAGGCTATTTTGGGTCAGTACCAGTTTGGGTTTAAACTTTTGACTAGAAAGATGTCAACACAGACAAAGAAAATGTCAGTCATTCCTTTGTTAAACTTCCCCTCTTTTAAGGAATTTAGGAATTCAGCTTGACTCTCTGCCTCAAAAGGGCATTTTGGATGCCAGGAGTGGCAGGAAGTATGGCAGAGCCTTAATCAGCTTGCAACTTTATGTGCACAATTGCTTCCTTCTTCCACCTGGGTAGGATGCTGAAAGAGGTAATACAGGACTTGAAACACTACCACTTGCCTGGAGGGCTAGATCTCTCTGGGCTGTAAATCAGCTTGATATCCAGAGGTATAAGAAAGCTGGTCAATACCCTTCACAATATGGGTCTTTTTGAGTGAGTTACAATTTAGCAGATCCTACTTAAAGCTCTAATATGAAAAAATTCACATATGTGAAGGAAAACCTCCTCTCCCTAAGCATGCACACAAAAACTCCCCAACTCATATTTTTGAGTTATGGCTCTGCCTGCAGACACTGCACAGACCATTGCAACCCTGGGGCTGTGTGCTGGGATGCAGATCTGGATCTGCTCAAGCTCATCTGAATAATTTCTAGAGGAGTCAACTGGACCTTCTCAAAATACAGCTTCTCCGGGGCGAGGGCTTTGAATGGGAGGCTAATCGCTGATGTGTGTTGAAACTTTTCCCATCACACTTGTGTGTTAGGAGCTGGAATTTGGCTTCCTGTCTGCCTAGTTTCTGCCTGAAGCAAAATTTTTATGGCTGAGCTGTGAACCCCTTAATGGAGACGGCTGTAAAAGAAAAGCTTACAGCCTTTTTGACTAATTGTGGCCTTACCAGTGATTACCATAATTTTGTAAATTTATTTTTAAAATTTTTATCCCTTCTGATCTCAGTCCATGTCCCCGAGTGAATTGGAGCTGGAGTGCAAGCATAATATACAGTGGTAAAAATGCAAAAAAATATGCTGGGAAAAGGTTTTATGAATTTCACAGCTTCCCACTCACCTCTCCAGACTTTGGATCAAGCCCTCACAGACCAGTCAGAAAGTGGAGGGATAGTGAGGTCACTGAGATGCTAATGCTCCTTTTCCCAATGGAAAGGTAATCTTATACGTAAAGCAAAATAATTCTCAATCCCATTACAACCAACAGCCCATTAAAAAATTCATTAGTCATAAAAAAGGTATATCTATCTCTGGGAAAAAAAACCCTCATAAATTAATCACCTCTGAGAATGCCAGAATGTAGGTTTATTGAGACTGCACCCAGATCTGCAATTTCATTACTATTTTTGGTGATTTTTTCCCCATTCCATGAATAGCCACCATTTTCACATGTGCTGTGTGGCTACTGCATTGTTCCTCACAAAAATCCAGGGAATTCTTTATGCCTGTCATGATCATAATATCTTACCTGAACTCTTTTGCAGTCTCTCTGGTACCTGAGCAGTTTCTTCAGCAATAAGCAGTAAGAAGCCATGGCAGGAGAGGGTCTGTTATTTATTACAATGGTGATAACTTCTGAAAGACTGAATTCCATCATTTCTGTCATGTAGTTTAAAACAACAGGATTCAATTCACTGGGGCAAAGTCTGAAATATTAGGAAAAAGTATTTAGATGCAAATGATGCATCCAGGTACAATGTCAGAATTTACAGTAAGTGGACAACACACTTGCTGTGATGTAGGTGGAGCAGGCTAAATTGACTGTACAGGCAAATTATGATACACAGTTGTGCAATAATACTCTTGTCTGGCTATGCTAACTTCACTAGTGGGCTGAGGCTCTGTTACATCATCATTAAATATCCTATTGTTGATATAATTGATTAGTCTGAAAGGACACCCACCAGGAGTAAGTTTGAAAAATTCAAAGATGGAAACAAGCATTTTCTCATTTTAATGGAGTGTGTGTGTTTTGGTTCTCAGTACAGTAGCCTTAGTTGGATCAACAGAGAGATTGTGTGTATGCATGTACATAAAAAGATAGGAAGAATGCCAAAGGCAGGAAAATCTTGAAGGACAAAAAAGGAACTAAGGAAAGTATGGTAGGATTTTAATTTTTATATAAATCAGATCATGAAATAAAACATGTTTTTTTGTAATGATACTTGTTTTGCTTACAGGATTCTGTGAGTAGCAATGTCTAGTAAAGGTACTGTAAAAACACGTCAGCCTTGGATTCTGAGACTCCTAAGACATTTTTTCAAACTTCAGTGTGAATGAGCACAGACACATCTGAGAGGAGGGAAGGAGGGCAAAGGTAGGAGCTGCAGGCAATTCTCCAAGAAACTAACAAATTGCACATAGGTGTCTAATAGCCCTGACTGTGGCTGGCAGTGGATCACCTGGATTATGGTAGAAAAACCTGCCAAGTATCCTCCAGACACTATTGCAGATGGTGCAGATTACATAGGCCAAATTACTCTTTTTCAATTAGTGTAAAATACTGACTTTTACAGAACAATCTGGGCACAAAACATGTGACCCATGATGGGCTACTTTCAGCAGTGAAGAGGATGTAAAAGGTCCATCACTGAACTAGGTAAAGGCTTACAAAGAATTCTTTGCAGTCTCTCAGTATGAAAGATGAATAACATCTTGAAAGTTGGCAACGTTTATGTGAAGTGTCATATTGCACATATCTATTTCAAACTTTTGTAATAATCTTAAGCTGTAAAGTGCCTTACTAAGAAGAAATGGAGACCAGTTAAAGCGAGTTAAAAAGATGGATGAGAATAAAAATTATTAGAATAAAAAGAACTTCAGTATAATATAAAAATGTTGTTCCTTCAGGTGGGCATGAGAGACCTAGTTTTGCAGGAAAGGATTAGAAGAATACTGTATAGAAATTAGTGACAGCTGTGAGGCACATTGAGAACAAAATTATTGACACAATGGATATAAGCAGTTCTATAAGGATATTTCCACTTACATAAAATTTATCCATGCTTAGAAAAGCTGATGTAGTGTATTCTGAAGTAAAATTCTGTCTTTTGCAATACCCCACAACAGATAACAAAAAGCTTCTAAAACAAACAAAAATTCCTAAAAACATCTCCCTCTCAAATCTCCAATCCTGAAATACCAATCTAGAAAAGAGATGTCAAAATTGTTACCTGTTCTCATAGGTAGCAGTGTTCAGTATTTTCCTGGTGAAACCTTCATTCAACCATTTGTCTTTTATTGCTTCTTTGACTCCAGGCCTCTTAGCAGGGTCAGGCTCGAGTAAGGACTGCATGAAGTGTACAGCTCCTGTGTAGGATTCCAATGAAATGCCTTCTTTACTAGTAATATCTGATTATTTCACCAGTTCATCTTTTTCACTCTTTCAGAAACGTGGCTCCTCCACATTATAAGTCCCTCAGCTAAAATTCAGTCTCTAGGGCTTTTCTTGGAGTCTGCAGTGGTCCCATGTGGTCCCTTGTTCCCCCAAGGACACCTTTACAGGGTGGGAGGACAAGGCAAACCACACCAAGATTCATGGCAGAGACCTATGGATGCTGGTGTAGATACAGTACTGGACCTCACTTCCTAATTTGTTTGGTTTACCCGAGTGAATGCAGCCTATGACATCAACAGTAGTCTCAGCATTGTGCTCACTCAGCATTTGGTCAGGGCTCTGAGAAGGGGCACTTCAGTGCCAGCTGACTGCCCAGGAGTTATGTTCCCCACACTCTGTAAGGAATTTACAGAGCCAATTGTATTGATAAAACTCTCTGTAACGAGGGAGGGAGATGGACCCATGTGCTCAGATGATGTGACGTGTTTTGGCTTCCTGGAGTTGGGACAGAGAAAGCTCTAACATTCCCATAAGTCAGTCAGCTCCAACACTACATTAAGTCCCTCTCTCTTTTTGGCTTCTTGGGAAAACGTTACTGAATTCTTCCATATTCCTTGGGGATGTTTCGAAATGAGCAGAATGGCAAGTGAGCATTAAACTAGGAACATACTGCTCCTTTCACTTGTAATCTCCTTCAGAAGAATTTAGACCAAAAGTATGCAAAGCTTGTTTACTATTGCTCTGTCACTAAATTCCCAATGGGCAAATGAACAATGGAGTTATCTGCAATCTTCTACTAACTGTGTGAGCTTTGCAGAAAAGCAGAGATAATGCATTTATTAGTAGAAGTTATAACCATAATATAAATAAGAAAAATTAGAAATATAATAATTGCAGCTATGGAGGGATTGTACAAAAATGAAGCTGCTATCTGGCAACCAGTCTCCAAAGAAAGAGAAATGAGAGACTAATGTACAAACATTCTTGTCAGCAATGGTTGACATCCTCATACTATTTACTAAGGGAGAGAAAGAAATTCAATCATCACATTATCTTAATATTGTAAGTCCAGACTAGATCCAGCCAGCTTAGTCTGGAACTGTCTGCTGCTCCCCAGTGCTTGTCTGCAGGCAGCCTCTGAAGCTAATCTTGGTTCCTAGGCTCACTCTTGCCTAACACCATAGCAATGCTGCACAAGAGGATGGAGAGATCTGAACTCATGCTGGTAGGCAGCTGAGCAAAACACGTCTGTCTCATTCTGCTCTGCTTTCTGACTTGGTCAGTGAAAGCTGCACAATAACAGCTGTGAGATGGGACCTAAGCCTGTGATGATCAAGATGCTAGTTCAGGTGGAGAGAAAATAGGGGTTAAAGCCAGAGGTGTATAGGAATCATTGTAAAACAGCAGAATTTTGGGACTTTGAGGAAGTAAATTTTGGACAGCTCACCCAGAGTATATATACACCAATGTGACTTCTGGGGTTTAGAGCCATGGGCTGTAATTCAGGTTAGAACTATTGAAAACTGTCTTTCCCAGTTGTCCTAAAAGACTCCATAGACTGTACCTATTAATGACCATCGGTAAAATTAATTGAAAAATGCATTTGAGTTCTTTCTCATGAAAAATATGGGCAGACTCTTCACAAAAATAGCCCTCCCATTTCTTTAACAATCTCAGTGTTGTGGGCTCTGTCAGTAGCCAAAAGATAAGGTCTTCAGCAAAAAATATCTAAGGTTTTGATAACTTATTTCTGGGAAAAACAGGAAAGAATGCCTGGCTATGACACACAGCATGGGACATGCTAAACACGACAGTGTTCTCATCTACTGCACAGCTGCTCCACTAAATGTAAAAGCAATGTACATTTTATTCCCCCTGTAAACGAGAACCAAGAATAGTGGTCTTTTAAAGAGACAACAATGTTATTTTCCTACTAGCCTGAGATAAAGATATATTGCCTTAGTCTCAAAAAAGTTTTTTTCTAAATGCAAGCAAAGCAACCTCTTATTTTCCAGAAGATTGCCTTATTGCTAAACGGGTTAGAAAGTTTTTACATCAATATTCATTAAAAAAAGTTGAAGTGCTTTACCAGGGGAGATATCTGATGGAATAGGACTGATTTCTCCAATTAACATCTTTTGATGCAGTTGTTTGATATTAAAAGGTTCCACAGTGAAAGGTAATGTGCCAGTTAGCATAGCAAACATGCTGACACCTCTGCCAAAGAAAAAGACAAACATCAGAGCTCAATATAATACATAAATACTTAAATAATTACTTATTTTAAAATCTCACAAAGCTATGAGTCAGTTTTCAGAGATTTGCCCTCAGCATCAAGAATGAAGCTGCAAATTGCCTCTAAGCAGCATTTTGTTCTGAATACACATCTTAAGCCTTTTTTCTTTGTGTAAATGCCATTTTATCTAGCAAAAAATGTTGAGTGAAGTGTGTATAAAATAGAGTGTACAGTGAGTGAGTGGAAAGCCTGCAGTGTTGAAAGTGGAAACCTGCTGTTTATTTTAAAAATAAGCTTTTTGGAGTGGCAGTGTAATGTACCCAGCCCATCAGAATAAAGCATTTTGGTTTGGAGGCTGAGTGACAACACAGAACTGGGACTGATGCAATAGATCTTGTTCCAAATAGTAATTCAGTTCTTCTTGCTTTGCTCAAATTGCTAAATTAGGTGTGACTTATGCCTAGAAGGCATTCATTTGGTAACAGCTTGCTGTTGGCTAAAGACTTAGAACTTTAACTCTTGCAAAAGACTAACAGTCTGCTAGCAGTGATCAGCAAGCTTTGTGATGGTTTGCCATTCAGTCTGGAGAAGTAACAACATTTGGAAAACTTGCTTAGCTGTCCTGAGTCTGTGAACTGGGAGGTTAACTTGAACACTCTTCGTGGTTCTTCCTTGCTCCAACTGAACTGCACCACAACAGCTTTTCACTGTAGAATGAATCATAGAGTCGTAGAATGGTTAGGGTTGGAAGGGACCTTAAAGATCATCTAGTTCCAACCCCTCTGCTGTGAGCAGGGACACCTTTCACTAGACCAGATTGCTCAGAGCTCCCTCCAAACAATCCTTTACCATTTCTCTCTGAACTCAGCAGAAACAGTTAATTTTAGAAGTTCAGGCAATTCTAATTTAATTGACCTGGTTGGTACATTAGTGCAGATGATGCTGATATTATCTGTGAAATAAATCTGGTGTGCACAACTACAACTTTTATTAATGTTTACAAATAGTTGAAAAACCATGAGAAGATGGTGGCACCTTTTTCTAAATGTTGCATTAGATTATATTTGAACCACTGACCTATGGGATAAATGCTTTTTATTACTCTCGACTAGAACTTATCTTGTCTCACTTTAATCATCTAAACCCTAGGTATCAATAGTTATCCATGGAAAGAGACAGGCTTCTCCAAGAGACATTCATCACACCTGATGTTATACAGCTGTTTTAGGCTACAGTTAAGTGTCTCGAGATGAACTATCTCCATGCACTGGCAATAATAATAGGACACTGACTGCCTGGTATAACCCAGTTGCCTGGTTGTTAAATGGCTAAATTTAGGTGAGATCAATCACTTTTCACTTTACGAAACCTTCTGATAAATCTAGTCCTTGAATGTAATGATTTCCAAAACGTTTTGATTAATCCTATGAGTAAAAAAGACCCCAGAAATGCAAATGAAAGATGCTACAATGAAACAACATTGAGTTGGCTGAAGTAGTAAGGAATTTTGTTCTACAGTACATAACAGCATGTAGATTAAATGTAGCTGGAGTGAGAGAAGGGCCCCTGAATACTTTCTGATGAGAGGGAGTAACATACAGTGCAAGTGGATGTTTAATGTCATTACAACATTAAATACATTTTTCTTTGTAACACTACAAACACTGCCATACATTTTAAATTGCTGGTGATGATATACATGACTGCTGCCTTAAACTAGCAATAGTTCTTTTCATCAGCCTTGTGGATGGGGAAATTGCAAAGGCATGGGAATTTGGGGAATAGATGGAGCTACTGTCCTAAAATCTCTTTTAAAATCTTATGCACAAATTGTAGCTACTTAGCAGTAACACACTTGGTAGCTAATTGTATATGGAATCTGATGGTATGTTAACTTAAATGTTTATTAACTA